TGTTGGTGGCGGAGTGTGGCGGGAGCCGACACTCAGACCGAGGCGGCACAGGCCGGCAATATCTCAAGGTCCGCGCCAGAGCCTGCGGCTCAAGGGGCCGATGGGAGAGGCAGCGAACAGGGCCGCTTCCCTATTAGCAAACTCTCAACATCTGTGCCATAGCAAAAGCGGCTATAAACTCTCACAGATCCAGCCAACGACCCAATCACCCCAAAATCCAAGGGCCCTTTGCATCCATCTCCCTGCGGAACCCGAAACATCAGACAAGCCAAGCGTATACACAGCAATCTTTCAGGAGGACTTGAGTTTTTAAAATGCTAAGCAGTTCTTAAAAACTTAAGTCGCATTATGTAGATGTAATATGGTACTGCCTGTTTACTGCGTCTAAACCTTAATTGCGCTTTTATTATGATAATTATGACCAGCCCTGCCTGAAGTCAGTATCGTTTAGCATAGCCAAATGGAACCATAGCCATTTTAGCCTCAGAGACCCTCATAGTTTTAGGTACATTGCAAGGTACAATTAGGTACAATTCTGGCCTGGCAGCTTGTGGCACCGCTCTCATTCTCGGTACATGACATCCTCCAGGCCAGGCACCAACTGAGCCGGCGCAATGTGCCCCCCACCATAGCCACAGAGCAAAGCTCCGCTCCATCCGCAGCTGCACCCATTCCGAACCCAAACCGGTGTACGGAGCAAAGCAGAACTCAGAGAAGCAGGTTTGCTGCTCTGCAACCATTGAAAGGACCTCATTTAATCTTTTAGGGAATTTGGGCGTCGTTAGTCTCTCTGGCTGCTTCCTGCTGTTATTGGGCCGCTGCATTTTAGGGGTAAACACTACAACATTTTAGGAGGTCTCGGTGATTCAAACCACGTGGATCTCAAGCACATACTTAGGCTCCCATCCTCCGTGGAGGCGAAAACAGAACCTCTCCTCCAAAACATCATATTCTTAAGCCCATGTTTTAAATTTAAGCTACCTTTTTTAGCAGTTCCTAAATTTAAATATCTTTCTCCTATCCAGTACATAAAAAACAACATGAACAACATAACATAAAGCTTTTGACCTTGTAAATCAGCCTTCTCCCCCATTTTTACTTTTTTAGAATCATTGGGGGGTCCTTTTTAACTTATCTGAGTGCGCGCGCACAACCTCCCACTGCTGCTCAGTTTCTGATATGCTCTCTGGACTTTAGAGCGTACCTCTCTAAGCATGTATGCCTGCAGTTCTGAAATCCTCCTGGTCTCTGGCGGTGTAAAGTTCTTCTTTTTCCCGGGTTTCGGCACCAGATTCCCGCGCTACCGTCTCGCCTGCAAGAACCACGCGGGACACATAGGATACTTCTGTAGAAATAGCTTTAATCCTCTTGGGAGCTAGAGCATAAGCCACATGGCGGAGACCCAGATATGATGGAACCCATCCCTTATATAGGAAACAGACCCTGCTTCGGACGTGTCACTCTTGGATTGGTCCGTTGCTCCCAGTCCCAGGTGATGCCTCGGGAATAGGCGGGGACACAGAAATGGAAAGATACCAACACATGTGCGTTCACCTGGTGGTGAAGCCGGATGTCAGCGCCATCTTGATGATGGAGGATGTGGCTGCGTCCTTCTACAGAGCTCAATAAATATCAATAAAACAAACAAACAAAAACAACAACCATAAAAAGAAGAAATATTGTAGAAAATCAAGCGTTATATCTCAGGGTATTGAATCAACATAAACACACACTCACACACACATCTTAGCCCCCTAGCTCCTGGCTTTGTTTTATGGTGTCTGCAAGTCTACCTTCCCCCACCAGCCTCAGCAGGGCCCCCACTGAGTGCCTACTGCTATACAAACACTTCTTTCTCCTCAGTGTCCCTCTAGAAAAGATAGTCCTACCCATTCCCATTTGAAGTACAATTAATACAAATTCAGAGACAGATATTGGGATTCATCTTGAAAAAGAAAAGCAAAGCAACCAGCCACTGGCTTTTATTTTGACCTCAGTCTGAAAACGGCGGTTCTGTCTCCAGGAAATCTCAAAATGAGACGGAGAGCTGACTTCTCTCTAGTTCTGGGATTAAGGGCATGCACCTGGTTTCCATGGCAAGCTAGTGTGACTCCTGGGATTAAGGATGTGTGCCATCACTGCCTGGTCTGTAAGGCTCGCCAGTGTAGCTGTTTTACTTTTCTGATTTTTCAGGCAAGTTTTATTTATTAAAATACAAATGAAACACCACTACACCCATTCACAGAGCGCTTGCTGTAACCTGGGTGGCAGGTGTTCCTGGTGTCAGGACAATAGCCTGCCTTTTGACCAGGGCCAAATGAGGAGGTGCTTTAGTTTCTTTTGTTATGCCCAGATCCATGAAGTCCCCCCAAAAACCAACAAGGAAACAAAGTCCCGTATGTAAAAGCAAAGAGCCTTTATTCTACACAAGTTTGCAAATTCGGACTCTTGATGTGTCCAACGTGTTGGAATAATCAAAGAGCCCTCAAGTTCAGTTAGAGTTGGGTTTTTATAAAAGAAAAGGTGGGGGTGAGGGATTTCTAAAGTTCAGGACCCCTGATTGACATTTGTCTAGGAGTGTCCCTGTGAGTGTGTGCTGGCAGGTGATATTATCTACAATGGTTAGAATATTAGGCATTTCCTTTGGTTGGTGTAATGAGCATGGAACCAGATTCCTCTGAATGAATAGAGAAAGGGGAATCTGTAGTGTAGATAGAACAGGAAATTTATAGAATAAGAATGAATGCAACTTGGTGTAATGTAAAAGCATTTCTTCTTGTGTGTGGTATGGAAAATTACTAAAGTGAAATATTAAGAGAACTTTTGCCCACTTGAAGGCTGCCACACCCCATCTGGCCCTGCCAGATGGGGAGGCTGCACCCAGCAACCGTGGTAATGAAATAATCTTGCCACACAAGAGGGACCCCCACCCTTCTGTGATCAGTCAATACTGATAACCTAGGACACCTGGTTATCGGAAGGATCACGCAAAGGGCAGTTTCGAACTGACTTAAAAGAGGGTGCTAAAGCAGGACAGATATCTCACCTCTCACAATGGCCCAGGTATCTGTCCTCATGGAAGGAGAGATCCTCCAAGCCTGCCTCCTGAAAAGCAGAACTATTAAACTCCTTGCCTAAACATCTAATGCTCTGTCTCCCGAGTACAGAGCTTCATATCCCGAAAACGCCTTGCATCCCGAATGCAAAGCCTCATTCCCTGAGAGTGGACATTGAAGGTCTGTCTCCCGAGAACAGACAAGATACTCTGCCTTTCAGAACGCTTTGCCATCCCGAGAGCAAAGCTTCGTCTTTGAGAGTAGAGAACTAAAAGCCTTGTCTCCTGAGACTCGGTCATCCGAAAAGCTGAGTCCCAAGGCCCTACATTCTGAGATAGACTAGCACCAGGCCAGAGACTACGCGGTCAAGGATTGATCCAGCACTGGACACCAGCCTGGAACAGGACATCGGAACCTTATCTCCCGAGCGCAGACTACGGGGTCAAGAGTAGAGCCTCGCTATCCGGACCCCAGTGCGGTCAGGCGTCCAACCTGAAGAAATTCAAAAGGCCCTTTTTAAGCTGAAGAATATCAGGTCGTATGATACTATTTAATGCGTGTATGAGATGTTAAGAGAAGAGCATAGACATGTTAATACATATGTTTAGTGTGTGAAATGTTAAGACATATAGATAATTGATAAGATTAGGAAATGTTAATGGATAAGTTAAGGTTAAGAAGTGTTTTATAGATAAGTAATAGATAAGTTGTCTTAAGGTTAAGAAATGTTTTATAGATAAGTAATAGATAAGTTGTATTAAGGTTAAGAAATGTTTTATAGATAAGTAATAGATAAGTTGTATTAAGGTTAAGAAGTGTTTTATGGATAAGTGATAAGTTAGATTAGGGTTATGAATTGGTTTTATGTATTAGGTTTATTAGAATTAATAATTGTGATATTGAATTGCCTGTATGATAGCCATTATCAATTCCCCATGCCTATTAAGATTGTAAACCTCATTGATGTATTGAATATTGAAGTTGCTAGTAAAGAATCACTATAAAACAATTCTCTTGCTTGGTCTGGTCACTCATCGCTCTCTGGGGAGAAGGGCACAGAGTCCTCATAGATATTATGAGTCTCGCACTGGGGCCGAGACTCATATCCCACGCAGGGGTAGAGGAGTTCGACCCCAGTAGCTGGGAGAAGGGGTATTTAAGGGAAGAAACCGCAACCCAAAGGGGGTAGGGAGGGCATCATTGGAAGATTCCAAAAATACCAGTGATAATAATTTCCCATTTCTCAAGATTGTTCTCAAAATTGTAATCTAACTTTGTGGTCATCCAGTTCCTGGAACAAAGTCACTGAAACTGGCTAACCTAGATTTTTGGCTCTTCCTGCTAGGGGGTCGGGATTTATCCTGGCCTTTCATCTGCAACCAGGTATTGCCTCGGGGTAAACTACTGAGACTCAGGCATCCATTAAGCTTATCATGGCTGGGTACTACATTGCCAGGCGGCTGTGCATCCTCGATCTCAGACTCCAAAGATCTGTGGTTCTTCCGTGGATCAAGAGGATACAAAGATCACCAGGGAAACCGCTGACCACAAACCCTGACCTTTGCCCTTCAGTTCACAACTCAACTTTGCTGCTTCAGTTTCCCTACCCGAAGACCAAACCAACAGCTACTCTGGTCATAGCTCAGATAAGGGCCAAGCCCACAAGCGCCAGGTACCCTGGAACCGGACACGGAGGGCCAAGAATTTGAGTTGAATTCCAGAAGTTTCTTTTTCTTCCAGGGGGATTCCGCAGCAAGCCTTCTTCACTCACAAGGCCAAGAGGAATGCCTACCTCCCTTTCCAGGAAAAAGAAACCGAAAGGCTGCCTTTCCCAGGACGCTAGCAGGCAGTGCTCCAACTGCTCCCGGACTGCCCCTAAGGACTCTGGAAATTGCTATTGGCTAGACTCGGGACCTATGCTAAGTAGGGGCGTGGCCCGGAGAGGGTTCCAGCGACCTGCGAAGCTCCGAGCTAGAGGAACAAAACCACATGGCACCGACTTTCTACCACTATCCTCCGGTGCCCATGGAGAAGACGTGGGAGGGACAGGGACCGGGCATCCGCCGGCGGTGGCTGATGGCCGCGGTCCTGACGGTCCTGATCGTTACGGTCTTGGTCACCCTGCTCATCTACTTCGCCGTCAGGGCAAACAGCGAGATCTGCAGGGACGGGCTGCGGGCTCAGCATGAGTGTCGCAACACCACGCACCTTCTGCAGCGCCAGCTCACCCGTGCCCAGGAGAACCTGCTGCAGGCAGAGACGCAGGCAAACACCTGCAACCGGACCGTGGTAAGACTGGAAACCGTGCCCTCCAAAGCCTCAAGTGACTGGGGAGGAGACTTTGAAACTGCCAAGCAAGTCCCACTCCCACGCCGGCACGTCAGCGACTGAGGACCTTGAAATCCACGGAGACCTTAAAACTTCCCACAGCTCCGAAATCAGGGTCCTCAGTATGCTCCCTTCCAGGACTCGGAGGGGTTCTCCAAATTTTGTGGAGGGTGCTGGGGTTGAAGACCTTGAAACTGACTTAGAGGACCAGCACAGGAGCTGCCCCTGGACTCCACTCAGCCCTGAGGATTGAAATTCTTTATTTTTTGAGACGGAGTCTCGCTGCATAGCTCAGGCTGTCCTGGAAGACACCCTGAAGACCAAGCCTGGTCTTGAATGCAGAGATCCACTGCCTCTGCCTTCCAAGTGCTGGGACTAAAGGTGTGCGCCACCACCAGCAAATATTTGAAATTTTGAATGTGTCTTTTAGAGACCTAGGAAGCTCCGTTGTTGAGTCTGGGAAAGGGTTTGCTAAATCAGTGCGAGCCGCAGAATATCTGGAACTTTCTAGTAGGGTTTAGTCATGAAGAGCTTTCAAATTCTCGTGGCAGAGGTGGGGGTGGGGGCTTAAAACTGCTATTTTGGAGCCAGGAGTTGATGGCCTTTAATCCCAGCATTCGGGAGGCAGAGTTCAGCCTGGTCTACAGGGTGAGTTCCAGTACAGCTAGGATTGCTACACAGAGAAACCCTGTCCAGAAGGAAAAAAAAAAACCAAAAAGCAAAAAACAAAATACCCTGCCATTTTGGAGATGGGCTATCCAGGGGGCTGGAGAGGAACCTAAAAGGACCTTTGTTTGGGTAAAAGGACCTCTGAAGACTTGGCCTGGAAAGTTTCTAGGGACCAGGACAACAAACAGCCAATCGCGTTTCTGCCGCTTTTCTGACTCAGGTGACCCTTCAGGATTCTCTGGAGAAGAAGGAATCCCAGGTCCTGGAGCAGCAGGCCCACATCCAGGAGCTTGAGAGTGAGAAGGGGTGGCTCAGAGGAGTGCAGGGGAAGGGGTGGGGCGGAGGAGTGCAGAAGACCGGGAGAAGGGGTGGGTTGGGGGATTGGAGGGGACTAAGAGGGAACAGGGCAGGCCTCCAGGGCAGGATTTGGGGGGGGGGGGGGATGTAGTGGCCCAGAGTGAGGGAACCTCAGGGCCATGTGCCAGCTGCTCAGGAATCTGGTTCTTCCCAGAGCTTCAGGAGTGGAAATGGGTGTTTATGGGAGCAGAGGGCAGGTTAGCAGTGGGGGCTGCAGAGCTGGGGATGACCTAAAGGTCTCACTGGTCCCTCTACAGCTGTAGAAGGACCCTAGGCTGGCCCTTCATTTGGTCTCCCTCTCCCTTCACCCCCCTCCCAGCACCCACTGCTGGCCTTGGTGTTACTTTGGGGTGTTCTCCGAGGTGGCTGATGCTGATTGGGCCCTCTATCTTTGCAGGCGAGATCATGAAGTTGAACCTGGAGCTGGCGACACTGAGGTTAGAAGCCGCTCTCCCTGCCCTCCCCCACCTCCTCCCCTGCCACTCTCTACTTCCTTCCTCAAGACTGGGACCCACTTGGCTCACACAATCCACAGCTCAAAGCTGAGCCATGAAGAAGGCTAGTGAGGAGAATTTGTGACACACTAGCTCAAGGCCCTGAGTTCAAATCCCCAGCACCCGCTTAGAAACTGGCTGTAGTATTCCGTAACTCTGGTATTGGGGAGCAGACAGAATATCCTGGGGCTCACTAGCCAGCCCAATTAGCCCAGGCAGTAAGCTTCATGTCCAGGGAGAGACCCTGTCTCAAAAATTAAAGAAGAGGGTATGCAGACAAAATTGTAGCCTTCCCTATGGCACAGTAAAGCCCAGAAGTTCACTGTCAAAGTAGTAATGCCAATAATAACACAGTTCATAAAAACAAGAGGGAGCCAGGCACATGGCGCATCAGAGGCAGAAGTGGGTGGAGCTCCGTGAGTTCTAGGCCAGCCAGGACTACATAGAGAAACCCTGTCTGAGAAAACAAAACAAAAAGTCTCAGAAGGAAAACATATCCCAAGAGCCACAGCCATAGGGGACCAATCCCAGCTCGCTCCCTCAGCGATGTGGTGAGTGGGGCTGCCTAGAAGCCTGAGTTTGGTGTCACAGGCCTGAGATCCCCTAGGAGGGGAAGAAAGAGGAGCCTGAGTCCAGCTCCACCTGAGCCACTGCGGGGTCTCCCGGACAGGGTGTCAGTGCCCAGGTACTGGCTGCCCTGAAGAGGACCCTGTGCTGGTCCCAGCATCCAGGGCATTGGGTAGCTCATAACTGTTCATAACTCCAGCTCCATGAGCTCCATGCATCTGGATTCTGAGGGCACTACATTCACACACACACACACACACACACACACACACACACTTAATAAAAATCAGGGCAGGTGAGGTGTGTCAACCTGAGTTTGAATACATGCCTCTGACTCCACACCCACCGCTATTTATGAGTGCTCATGCATACGCATCATAATGCGCATGTACACACACTAAGTAAACTATAATACAATTTAAAAAGAATAAAAGCAAAATCTAAGGAAAGAAAATGTGAATTCAAAATACTAAGAACAGGGCTGAGAACCAGCTGGAGCCCTCAGACTCCCTCAGTGAAGGGCTGGTGGGCGTGGCTCAGGGGTGGAGCCCCTGACTAGGATCCCCAGTGAGGGGCTGGGGGTGTGGCTCAGGGGTGGGGTCCCTGCCTAGAATCCCCAGTGAGGGGCTGGGGGTGTGGCTCAGAGTGGGGCCCCTGCCTAGGATCCCCCAGTGAGGGGCTGGGGCCTTGGCTTGGGGTGGAACCCCTGCCTAAAATCCCCCCAGTTCCATCCCAGGACAGAAATATTTAAAAAGGAAGCAGATCACTGAGTGGTGCTGCCCGTCTTTAATTCCAGCCCTCAGGAGGCAGGGGCCGGTGGGTCTCTGTGAGGTTGAGCCCAGCCTGCTCTACAAAGTGAGCTCCAGGACAGCAGGACTGTTTGACAGAGAAACCCTGTCTTAAAAAAAATAAAAAAAAAAGAAAGAAAGAAAAAAAGAAAGAAAGCAAGCAAGCGAAGGAAGCAGATCATCAGGTGACCTCTGCCTGAATCATCTCTCTCCACGCAGGACCAAGGAGGAAGCTTCTAGGACAGCACAGAACTCTGCCAGCTCCATGGTGGTTTCCAGCCTACTGATGTTCGCAGTGCCAGTGTTCCTACTTTTTTGAGGACCCAATAGCTGGCAGGTAAGGACTGGGTCCAGGGTTGTGAGGAGCCCGCTCAGGGAGGAGGGCGTGGTCCTGTGGGGGAAGGGGCGGAGTCCATTAGCAGTTGAGTCTTTCCCTTTCTTTAGACCACAGCCCGTTTTGATGAAGATGCGGTTGCACCTGTTTGAGGTCGTTGGGGGTCCTGGTGGCTCTGGAGGTCATGGCAGCCCCAAGGATGTAGAAGCCACTGAGTGGAGCCTAGATTGCACCTCCCTCCCTCCTTCCCTCCCTCCCTCCCTCCCTGTCTCCCTCCCTCCTTCCTTCCTTACCGGGGAGAGTGGAAGGGGCACCTCCATTTTTGCTTTTATGGTTATTGGGGAAGGGGTTCACTTATTTCTGATGTCTTTAAGCTTTGAAAAATAAAGTAATTTGGAAATAAAGAGTTTGCTTCTAAGTTGCTAGTGTCCCTAGGTCCCCTGTTTGTCCATCCTGACCATGGCCTTGGTCAGTGGGTACAGAGGGTGGCCGGCTCTCAGGTCTATGCTGCTCTAAGGGAAGAGGCTGAGGCCAGAATGGCTCCACCATGCTGCCTGTCTCCTCAGTTCTCGGGAGTTTATGCTAGCCTTCTTCACAGCAGCAGGACTTATGGAACGGAGAGAGACAGGCAGGCAGGTAGGTGATGGATGGATGGGGCTCACAGAGAGGTCCAGCGAGTCCAAGAGTGGCTGTCTACCAACAGGAGCCTTTTTTTCATTTGTTTGAGAATTTTTCTGCTTATACAAACGGAACAAAAGTTCAGTAGGCGTCTTACCCATTCATGCCTGGAGCACCACGTAGCCAGTACTAAAGGTCCATACGAGCCGTGCTGCTCACTGCGGGCCTGGATGATGGACATTGCTTTGTCTATGCTGCCCATTATGATAACTGAAGTCACTTGGCCTCTGCTACCTCGGGGCCCAGTTAAACCAGTGGTGTCTCCAACCTTGTGTCAGTTTACACAGAGACGCCTGGAGCCACCAACCAGCACTAGCATTTTCCTGATTTTCTACAAGTTTTGTTTTATAGGTTTTTCGAGACAGCGTTTCTCTGTGTAACCCTGACTGTCCTGGAACTCCCTCTACAGACCAGGCTGGCCTCAAACTCACAGAGATCCACCAGCCTTTGACTCCTTAGTGCTGGGATTAAAGGAGGGCACCACCATTGCCCAAGTCAGTTAAGTCTTCTCCTCCTCCTCCTCCTCCTTCTCCTCCTTCTTCTTGTTTTGTTTTACTTGTTTTTTGTTTTTCAAGATGGGGTTTCTCAGTAGCTATGAAGCCAGTTACTGGAACTCACTCTGTAGACCAGGCTGGCCTTGAACTCACAGGAATCTGCCTGCCTCTGCCTCACCTCCACTGCCTGGCCACTTAAGCCTTAAAAGCTATTTCCCACTTTCCACCCCCTAGATTTCTCACAGTCCCACAGTGCCTAGCTCTGATGCCCACTCCCTCTCCAGGATCTCACTGCTTTCCTCTGTTAACTTCCTTCCTCCACATCCTCCTGGAGCCGGGTTATTGTTCTTTCCATTTCCTGCCTGTGACTCTAAGGTTCACAGTTTTGTTCCCTTGACCCCACAGTACCCACTGGAGACAGTGTTTCCCTGGGGACCCCAAATGCCCCCTCACAGGCACCCATAAATCTCTTTGTGGGTTTAATTCTTGTTCACCTCACATCATTGTCTTGGTACAAAACTGTTTCCAAGCCAAGCTGTTTCCGGCGTCGAGCATATTGTGCAGTCTCTTCTAAACCCTCAGGCCTGAGTTCTCATTCAATCCTGCTGCTTTGTGTGTGTGTGTGTGTGTGTGTGTGTGTGTGTGTGTGTGTGTGTGTTCTGGGAAGTGAACCCAAGACCTGACCCCAGGCCATGCCCCAGCCCCTCACTGGAGGGTCCACCCCTGGGCTGGCCACTGGTCCCTCACTGAGGGCATTTAGGTCTAGCCCTTCTCTGGTGGTCTTGGATAGAGGCCTGTCCTCCACTGGATGGCACCACATGGCTTCATGTTTTCCGTTGTCCCTGTTTGCAAAGTATAATCCCAGCTGGCTTGTCTGCTTGAGACTCTGTCTTTAGGAGAAGGGGTGGAAAGGGCCATTATCTTTACTGGATGGCTCACCCCCCCCCCCATCTTACACCATATATTTCTTACACCAAAGCAGCAGTGGATTTTGGAATGGTAGAAGTGGGAGATCAAGCTTCACAGGGTGGAGGTTCAGGCGGGACCGACTGTCCTCACCGGCAGACACAGGGTGGAGGAGGTTCAGGCAGACCGATTGTCCTCACTGGCAGACATTTTCCAGGGTTCCTGCTTTGTACCTAACACATGGATGCAGCCTGCTCTTTCCTTCTTGGGTGTTTTCTGTGAAAATTTCCTTTCATGGGACTGACTCGGTGGGGCAGAGGAGGGCAGGACTTTTTTCTCTATTTGGATCACTGTCTCCCCCACAATGGGGACCCTGGAGGATACAGAGGAGCTAGACGAGGAAGGGAGATAGCTATCCAGTGCGCTCTCTCTCTCTCTCTCTCTCTCTCTGGCCAGGAAGTGAGACTTCCCCAGCACTGAGCAATCCCTTCATCCATGACCTGTGACCTCCATTCTCTTGGGTCCCTGGAAAACTCCCGTGTATGGCTTCTGCCCCCAGCTCTCCTCAGCACTGAGGTGGCTGATGAAGGCAGCTCACCAATCTACATATAGGTCACACCCTATATGATATTTTATTTGTATTTTGATAAATGAAGCTTGTCTGAAGAACAGAATGCAAACCAGCCACACTGGTCATCTATACAGGCAGGAGGTGGTGCACACCTTTAATCCCAGCACCAGAGAGGACTGCAAAACAGGAGGAGACAGGAGCTCGGGCCCAGCCTGCGCCCAGGGTGTGGAGAGCACTGCAGTCCGCTGAGGACAGGATCGCCCCTTTGTCTGAGCCTTGGTAGGAGCTTGACTGTTTTGCTTTTCTGATCTTCAGCTTGAACCCCAATATCTGTCTCTGGGCTTCTATTAACTGTGCTACGAAACCCTGTCATTTTTTGTCTTTTACCCTGAGTCTGGACCTGAAGGATGTGCACCACTCAGCAGTCCAGGGCTAGAGGTGGGGACTCGGGAATCGGATGTGTGCTGTGTGTCTGGCTTGTGGCACAGCCTCTCTGGGTCTGACTTGGTTTTCTTCTCTTTCTTTTCCTTCAGATTTTTTCATTCTTTTCTGCTTCTTCCTTTTTTCCCTCCCCCCCTTGTTCCCTCTTTATTTAATCTTCCTCGCCTCGCTTTCTCTTTGACTCTCAACGCTGTTGCTGTGATGTGAGGATTTGTTCAACCCCAGCCAGAAATTATATCCAAGTACGGAGACCGAGGCCAAGACTCTCAGTCTGTCACTGAATGGCCTGGAGGGCACCAAGCAGAGGCAGTCACGCCCACGTGCTTGGTGAGCTGTAGAGTGTTGGCCTTCCACGCTGCTCCATCTGCAGGTGTCTTGCATTGCAGCCACTGTTGCTGTCCGTGGAGAGTTCGGCACTTCCCACTTCTTGGAGAATCCTTCCGTGCCCTGGCCTGCCTACTGTCCAGGTGCAGGTGCTGGGGCTGGAGCTGCCTGATGAGAAGTGGTTTGAGTTGGGTCTGGGGCAGAGTCTTCTGGTTTATTTTCATTTCTATATAAATTTATAGATGTGTTTTGTCTTTTTTTTTTTTTTTTTTTTGAGACAGGGTTTCTCTGTGTAACAGTCCTGGCTGTCCTGGAACTAGCTCTAGCTCTTGTATATCAGGTTGGCCTCGAACTCACAGAGATCAGCATGCCTCCTGCCTCCCCAGTGCTGGGATTAAAGTCATGCACCATCACCACCTGGCTCTAACTTAATATCTTTTTCTTGTTGTTGTTGTTTTCAGACCAGGCTGGTCTCAAACTCATAGTGATCCACCTGCCTCTGCCTCTGAGAGCTGGGATAAGAAGCGTGTACCACCAACCCTGGCTTACAGACTTTGAGTTTAGTTTATTTTAAATGCATTCTATTTATATTCTAATTAGAGTTAAACCCCGGTTCTCACCTGTAGCCCAGGCTAGCCTCTCACTCCACCTACCTCTACCCTCTTTGGGCTGAGGGTGTGTGCAACTGTAAACAGCTTCTATTTCATGCACTGACTGAGGGGCACACACACCAAGTGTGCCCAGTCTGTGTGATCACAGGATAGAGGATGAAACAAAACGGGAGGCTTAGCTTGTTAGAGGCTCAGGCAGGAACCTGAGTGTCTGACGACCTTTGGTGTCCTGGACCTACAAACCAGGGAGATATGCTGTCCTATGACCTGGAGAGACCCTACGTTCCTCCCACGCACACACAAAATAAATAAAATGTAATAAAAAAATCAAGGAAAAACTTTTTTTTATAAGGATCTTGAATCCCAGTCTCATGGAAAGATTGCCCACACGCGTCTGACTGAGCACAGCCAGTGTGGAGACCTTGCGGGACCCACTCGCATCTACCCTCTCACCTTCTAGCCTCAGTTTCCCTATCAACAGAAAGTGCTCACCAGTCACTGAGTTGGGGGAAACTGAGGCTCAGAAGGGCCTGGTGAAAGTGCCCCCAGTTTCTTCCTAGAGCGCTCAGAGCTGACTGGCCCCAGGAGGAATTCCTGTGCACCCCTCCCCATCCCTCGGGAAGCCACTGCCAGGTGGGGTGGGGCGGGACCGTGGGTGTCCCCGGAATCCCAGGGTGCCAATTAAGTGTTGGTGGCCCGTCTGGGGTCAGAGCCACAGCCAGCGGGATGGCAGAGCCAGGCCCAGAGCCGGGGCGCGCTTGGCGGCTGCTGGCCCTGTGCGGGGCTGCGGTGTTTCTGGCGGCTGCCGCGGCCGGAGGGGCGTTGGTGGCCTGGAACCTGGCGGCCTCGACGGCCCGGGGTACCCGCTGCCCTGAGTCCGAGCAGGTGAACGCAACGGTGTGGCCCCCAGACTCAGCGCCTGAGATCGAAGAACTTAGGCGGCGGCTGGTCGAGGCTGAGCAGCGCCAGGAGAGCCTGGCCGGGTGGCTGCAGCGCGCCGAGGGCGACAGACGGGAGCTGGAGGTGGCGCTCAAGGCCTGCAAGGACCGCCAGGTAGGGGCAGGGGAAAGCCAGAACGTTCTGCAAAGAGATTTGCTTGCCTATCTCTAGGGCCTCGGTGTTCCCCAACTTTCCAAAGGGTGGAGAGAAAATGCAGGACTATCTCAGTTTCTCCTGTTTTCTAAAACGCCAGTCTTCTTGGAGCCTAACTCTGATCCATGATGCCACCTGTCCCTGCTGTTGGACACAAGGAAAAAGCCCGGACCCCGGAGCTTTGAGACAGCCTGCGTTGACCCTCGGCACCGCTCACTGCCACTCCAGGTTCCAGTAGTCCTATTTTAAGAGAGGGACATTATATCACCTGTAATTAGGAGACTAAAGTTGGCCTCTTGGGGAGGCACCAGCGGGACCTCCCTTTTCCGGGGACCGCCCTCTCAGACTCTCAACCCTCTTGACCCCACAGCCTCACAAAATGGAGTGCTCAAAACCCAGTCACTGACTGTATGGTCATCAAAGCAGGGAGGTAGAGGCAGGGAGATCAGGAATTCAAACTCTTCCTTAGGAGCCTGGAGAGGTGAGGGCAGCCTGCGCGGGCAGGAGACCCTATCACAAAAGGAAACACTCTCAGACCTAGCGTTTAAATGTATTAAACAACGGCTGTGAATCTTTCTGTGCCTGACCCAGCACAGTTCGTACATCTAGTTTTGGTGGACACTGAACTGTGTGGGAAACACAAGACTTAACGACTGCTAGGCTGGGGGTTCCACCCCTGAGCCACGCCCCCAGTCCCTCACTGGGGATTCTAGGCAGGAGCTCCACCCCTGAGCCACGCCCCCAGACCCTCACGGGGTGGGGGGGATCCTAGGCAAGGGCTCCTGTGCCACGCCCCAGTCATCTTTTTACTTTTGATTTTGAGACAACCTCTGCCTGAGATGCCCAGTATGTCCTGGAACTCGGGCTGTAGCTATGCCTAGCTGGACTTCCCGATCCTTCTGTCTCCACCTCCCAAGTGCTGGGATGACAGAAGTATCCTGCCAGGTCCAACTGGCATCTGTGTTTTAAAAATCTAAATATTCTGGCAAACCGAGACAGGAGGACCACAGCTTCGAGACCAGCTTTAGGTGCAAAATATGATGGCTGTAATCACGATACAGGAAAGTGAGAACGGCTCCTGCGCGCTCCGGTCTATCTGAGGCAGGGAGGTCAAAACTACCTATCCCCAGGTGTGCGCTCTGACTCTGCCTGACTTACTTAGCCAGTCTGTTCTGCAGTGGCTTTGTCACCCATCAAATCTGCCTGAGCTGGTGGCAAGTCCTCAACAGAGTTCACAGAACCAAGCATTTTCTACTGTGTACAGTTTAGGTGGGGTTCACCGAATTCCTATTTTGTCCCTTTCTTCCTCCCCCTACTGTTGTGGGCAGAGCCGGCTTCAGACCCAGCTGAAGACCCTGAGGATCGAGATGGAAGAGGCCAAAGCCCAAGGCACGCAGATGGGGCTACAGAATGGAGAACTGACAGGTGGGCTGGGGGAGGGGAGGCTGGAGGAGGGAGTGGAGGAGTAGGGCTGGAGGGGGGGCCTGGAGGGGAAGGCAGGTCCTTAGAAACTACAGCGCACGGACCTGCAATCGCTGTGCAAACCATCTAAACAGGACATTTAAAGAACTTTAATGCACCCACAAGAGCAGGAAACAAGAAACAAGCCTGCCAAAGATGCGAACTAACACAGACCAGGCTGTGGCTGGGCTGTGGCTGGGCTGTGGCTGGGCTGTGGCTGGGCTGTGGCTGGGCTGTGGCTGGGCTGTGGCTGGGCCGTGACTTGGCAAGGTAGAGTTCGCCTAGCATGCTGGGCTCCACCCCTAGCACGCATAAACCAGGCCTGGGGGTGCAATCCTAGTAGTAACCCCAGGACCCAGGAGGCTGGCACAAGATGATATCTGTGAAGTGAGTTTGAGGTCAACCCTGGGACACAGTAAGATGCGGTCTTAAGAGAAACAAACAAAACAAAACAACAACGACAACAAAAAGTTGTATGAGCCAGGTGTGATGGCGGAGGCTTGTTATCCCAGCACTCAGGAGGTAGGAATTGGGGAGTTCAGAATCTGTCTCTAGTCTTGGTTTATATAGTAAATCTGAGGCTAGCCTGGGCTACATGAGACCTTGTCTCCAAAAGCAATAATATTAAGGCGACAACGATGATGAAGATAGAAAGTCATACACATTTTATGTTTGTTTTGTTTTTTATTTTTCGAGACAGACAGCTCTAGCTGTCCTGGAACTCACTCTGTAGCCCAGGCTGGCCTTGAACTCACAGAGATCCTCCTACCTTTGCCTCCCAAGTTCTGGGATTACAGGCGTGCGCCACCATCGCCCAGTTTAGTCGGGCACATTTCAATTCAAGCATGCACAGGGCACGCAGACTCAAGTCCCTCTGTCCGCTGTAGAAGCCTTGGCGCGTTGGGAGGCAGCAGCCACTGAGTCCAAGCAACAATTGGAAGCGGCTTTACAGCGCGCAGGCGCAGCAGAGGCAGAAGGCGAAGCTTGCGTTGGCCGGGAGGTGGCGCTGCGGGAGCACATGTGAGTTAAAGGGCCAGCCACGAGTGGGCCAGACGGACAGGGCCAAGGACTATGGGGAGTGTAGTTCTTTAGGTCAATCTGCATCTAGGGGTGTGGCTTGGGTAGTCTGGCCTCTTTAGGTAGGGAGGGAAGGGTAGCCAGGTGGACCGGACTTGGAGGTGAAGTCAGATTTAGCTCCAAATGGTGAGGGGGTGGGGAATCCCAGGTTGAAGATGTCACTCGGGGAATCAGTGTGGGCTCCAGGGAGGAGCAGGGAGGAAATACAAGCTTGTAGGAAAAAGAAGTAGGTAATGAGAAGAGGAAGGGATTTGGAGAGGCTCTTGCTGGGGAGAGACCCGAGTCCCTGGGGAGGAAACTCTAATATGTAAGAGTGTGGAAGGGAATCGGGACTTTGCAGGGTAGGGAGCCCTGAAGGCTGAACTCCCCACACGGACACAGTGTCGGGGTGTCAGGCGCTCATAATCCCCACCTCTCTGCAGTTACGCCCTGGAAGCCGAGCTAGCTGACCTGCGAAGAGGATTGCGGCCCCGTCCCCGCTCAGGATCCAGGTCCAAGCCCAGCATCCGCTCGCGCCCGAGGTCTGGATCCACTAAGAGCTGCCGTAGGCCACCTCGTGACCCCCAGTAGGACGGGAGCCTTGGGCCAGGACTGACAGCGTGGGTGAGATACGTGACCCACAGTGTCCACACGCAGCTTTCCACCCACGACTGCCTCGGTGGCAGCACACAGACTCAGTCCTCCTCTCTAGGAGCACACAGTGCTAGATCATCACCACACAGGGAAACTGAGGCTCATTTTATCAGGCCGCGATAGCCCTGGTAACTACACTGCGACCTTCATCCCATGGTCAAGAGGCTCGCCCTGTAGGAACGCACAGAACTCCCGTGGGATTTCAACAGAGAACCGAGGCATACTCCAGTAATAAGGTTTACAAATTCTAAGAAGTCCTAAGGATCAGGGCCTGGGGCCTGGAAAGTGACCCTGTTCTGGAGGAGATGCCCACATGACAAGAAAAGACAGTGCAGGAAGTAGGAAGGGGCGCTGTGTGGCTCACATGGAGGGAAGGGGCTCTCTCTGGGTCTCAAAAAAAAAAATCATTGAAAGACCAGTGGTTCCCCTCCCACCTCCCTTCCTGATTCTCCCTCCCCTCTTTCCTCCCTTTTTTCTCTTTCCCTTTCAACTGGGTCTCATGTAGCCCAGGCTGACCTCAGACTGACTGTATAGCCTAGCTGTCCTGGATCTCCTGACCCCCTCACCCCCCGCTGGGATTAAAGGCCTGCATCACCATACTCTACTCAATAATCTCATGTGTGATTAGTTTTACGATATGAGTCTTACAATTCATGTTTAACATATTTTTCTGAGACATCTTCCTATGTAGTTCAGGTTGGCCTGAAACACACTGTCCGGCCCCCCGCTGTGAGTGTTGGCTTTATGGATGTGCTTCACTACACCTGGCTCATTTTTCTTTGAAACTGATTGTGCACATTTAATGTGATTAATAGTGACGATTTCTGGACGTCATCGATCCAGATTCCTTTCTTTATTCTTTGTTTCCTTTTGTTCCATGACGCTGGCGATCGCCCCAGTGTGGTACTCACTGTCAGCATCTCCAGTCTCAGGTCTGTGGATCCTGAGGCTTTGTTTGGGGGCTGGAGAGGAGGCTCAGCAACTCAGCTCTTGTTGCCCTTGCAAAGGCTCTAGGTTGTTTCCTCAGCATCCAGGGGTCATCTCACAAACTGAGTTCACATCCAGAACTCAGTTCCAGGGGATCCAGCGCCCTCCTCTGGCCGATTTGGGTACTGCACATATAGATGTGCATGTTCATGCAGGAGACCAAAATAAATAAAAACAAACCATTTATTTATTTATTTATTTATTTATTTATTTATCTATCTATTTATTTGAGACAGGAGTTTCTAAATAGCCCTGGCTCTCCTAGAACTCACTCTGTAGACCAGGCTGGCCTTGAACTCACAGAGATCTGCCTGCCTGCCCCAGCCTCCCAAGTGCTGGGATTAAAGTCGTGGACCACCAGGACTGGCAAAACAAAACAAAACACCCACAAACACAGTGTACAACATGGAGAGGAACCTATCAGCTCTGTGCTGGTAACAAGGACACTGAGATCCAGGTTCATTGTCTATCTCTCTAGTGAGGCTGAGTCTCAGACAAAAGCAAAACAAGCCAGGCAGTGGTGGTGCACATCTTTAATCCCAACACTCAGGAGACAGAGGCAGGTGGAGCTCTGTGAGTTTGAGGCAGCCTGGTCAATGAGAGCTAGCTCCAGGACAGCTAGGACTGTTACACAGAGAAACCCTGTCTTGAAAAACAAAAACAAACAAACAAACAAACAAAAAGCAAAATGAAACCCAAAATGTTTATAAATACATTATGTTAACTCTGACATGCAGTTAAAACATACCAGTTAAAAACAAACTGGCTACCATTCTGGAAATCAGTGTGACAGTTTCTCAGAAAATCGGGAATCAGCCTACCTCACTCTTGGGCATATGTCCAAAGGAAGCACAATCATACCAAACAAAGACATTTGCTCAACTATATTCTTAGCAGCATTATTCGTAATAGCCAGAACCTGGGAACAACCTGGATGCCCCTCAACTGAAGAATGGATAAAGAAAGTGTGACACATTTACACAATGGAGGACAACTCAGCTGTTAGAAAACAATGACATCATGAAATTTGCAGATGAATGAATAGAACTAAAAAAACCATCTTGAGTGAGGTAACTGGGACAAACACAGTACGTACTCACTCATAAGTGGATAGAGGATATAAAGTAAAGCAAAGGATAACCAGACTACAATCCACAGCTCCAGCGAATTGGGAGGGTGGGGGCAGAAGGGAGGGTGGAAGGAGAAAAGAAGGAGGGGGAGGGGGAAATGTATAGCTCAATAAAAACAATTTTTTTCTTTCTTTTTTTTTTAATAAAAACAATTTTTAAAAAGTTAAAGTAAAAACAACACTGGCTGCTCATGCAGAGGTCCCAAATTCGGTCCCCAGCACCCACATCCGTAGGCTCTCAACCACCTGTAGCTCCAGCTTTAGGGAGTATGACGCCCCCTTCTGGCTGCTGCTCTCACAGCACTCACTTGCTCATAACCACACACAGATACATAAAGTGTGCCTGAGTCCTAGGACCCCTCAAGAAAACCACCACGGAGCCACACTTCCGAATGCAAAAGCAAGGTTTCATTTATTAAGTTCAGGCTAGTAATATAATAAAAGAAACCTTGCTTTTATGGGGGCTGGAGAGATGGCTCAGTGGTTAAGAGCATTGCCTGCTCTTCCAAAGGTCCTGAGTTCAATTCCCGGCAACCACATGGTGGCTCACAACCATCTGTAATGAGGTCTGGTGCCGTCTTCTGACTTGCAGACATACACACAGACAGAATATTGTATACATAATAAATAAATAAATATTAAAAAAAAGAAACCTTGCTTTTGCATTCGGAAGTGTGGCTCTGTGATGGTCTTCTTGGGGGGGGGGGGGTCCTAGGACTACGGCACAACATTTGGGAACTTGTCCCAAATGACCGAAAACCCCCGGACCCCCACCCTGAAGGTTTCTGGTGCTGGACCACAGGTGAGTGATGTTGTCTGTCAGATGTTAGTAGCTGTGATTTGTGATTTCTGTCTGACCTCTGTTCCGTGTGAATCTGGTAGCCTGCTAGCAGGCAGTTCTTTTTTCTCTAGCAAGGGGTTTCCCTTTCTTTGTGGGCTGATAAATTTCTTTTTCCTTTCAAAGCAATCCACACCGGTGTCTGCAGCGTCATGCTGTATTTGAGCCTGTGAGGTGGTCCGATAATGGTCGATGTCTGGGACAGCGGACAGACGTGTCTGGGGCCGGGAACCCACTGGCGGATCAGGTCCCCGTATGGAGGAAACTGGGCACTCCTCGTAGTTCAGAGCCCTCTCAAGGAGCCTGGAGTGTGCAGAATGGGGAAGCAGGTTCTGACCAGATTCCTCTTTTGGAGGGCTTGCAGCCCCATCTGGAGGATATTAAGTCCTCAGTAACCTGGAGCCTCTACTGGGAGCCAGGGACTCGTATGGTTTTGGGATCATGGATGCGCCCCCCAAGCCAGGGGAGGTGGCCACAGTTTCAGACCACTGACTGGGTTTGTGAGGACTCGCTGTTTCCTCCTGTGGCCTTCATTTGTTGTCTGATGGTTGTCTCTTTGTCATGTTTGAGACTGGATTGAGGAGGACTGGGAAAGTGGGGCTTCTACCCGCTTGGAGTTCTACCTGGCACACGGGACGATATTAAGGCAACAGCTCACAATAGCAGTGTTGAGGTTTAAAAGGGCAAGCTTAACAACTTTCGCAGCTCTGAATGGCCATCCTTCGATGTTGAGTGGCCTGCGGAAGGATCCTTTGATGCCAGCCTCGTAAGCGCTGTGGAAAACAGCGTGTTTCATCCTGGGAAGGGACATCCGGATCAGACACCATATATTGTCACCTGGCGGGGGCAGATAGAAAACCCCCCATCTTGGCTAAGACATTTCTCGCCTCCATAGGTTAAGGTGTTAGTGGCCCAAATGCAGCCCCCTCAGAGGCCCCCTCAGCTACAATACTTCAGGGGATTCACAAGAGGAAGGTATTTTCCCCCCACCCTACACTCCTCCTGAGCCCCAAGGGTTGGAGCTGGGGCTGCTGCAGGAGACCCAGTCTCAGAGGAGGGAGAAATGGGCCCCACACGAGCAACCCGCAGCAGGCAAGGGAACACTCCCCAACCACAGGTTATCTAGCCTCTGAGGCCCACTGGGCCACCAGATGGAGATGGGCACCAACCACACACTGGCCTTTTGCCTATACAACTGGCATACACAAGCACCCCCTTTTCTGGGACTATAATTCAGCTCCAGGTAAGGAGAGGCTCAAAGTCTATAGCCAGACCTTTTTGGCAGGTCCCAAAGCAGCTGCCAAATGGCCCACTAACATGTGTATGATGTTAGACAGGAACCAGAGGAACCAGAGGAAAGCCCAGAAGCTTATCTTGAACGGTTGCAGGCGACTTTCAGATGTTACACTCCGTATGATCCAGGAGCACCAAAAACAGAGAAAACATTGGGCCAAAAAATGCCCTAAAAAGCCACAGCAAGCTACAGTACTGAAAACAGCCTGGTATTGGCATAAGAACAGACAGGAGGACCAATGGAATCAAATAGAAGACCCGGATATCAATCCATACATCTTCGAACACCTGATCTTTGATAAAGAAGCAAAAAAAAATCAAATAAAAAAAAGCATATCGAACAAGTTGTGCTGGCATAACTGGATATCAACATGTAGAAGAATAAAAATAGACCCATATCTATCACCATGCACAAAACTCAAGTCCAAATGGATCAAAGACCTCAACATAAAGCCAACCATACTGAACCTTATAGAAGAGAAAGTGGGAAGTACACTTGAACACATTGGCACAGGGAATCACTTCCTAAATATAACCCCAGCAGCACAGCCACTGAGAGAAACAATTACTAAATGGGACCTCCTGAAACTGAAAAGCTTCTGTAAAGCAAAGGACACGGTCAACAAGACAAAACGACAGCCTGGAGAATGAGAAAAGATCTTCACTAACCCTACATCAGACAGAGGTCTGATCTCCAAAATATACAAAGAACTCAAGAAATTGGACACCAAAAGAACACATAAACCAATAAAAAAAATGGAGTACAGACCTAAACAGAGAACTCTCAACAGAGGAATCTAAAATGGCTGAAAGACACTTAAGGAAATGTTCAAGATCCTTAGTCATTAGAGAAATGCAAATCAAAACAACTCTGAGATTCCATCTTTCACCTGAAAGAATGGTCAAAATCAAAAACACTGATGACAACTTATGCTGGAGAAGATGTGGGGAAAAGGGAACACTTCTGCTTTGCTGGTGGGATGCAAGTGGTACAACCCCTTTGGATGTCAGTGTGGCAATTACTCAGAAAATTAGGAAACAACCTTCCTCAAGATCCAGTAATACCACTTTTGGGTATGTATCCAAAGGATGCTCAATTGTCCCGCAAGGACATGTGCTCAACTATGTTCATAGAAACTTTGTTTGTCATAGCCAGAACCTGGAAACAACCTAAATGCCCCTCAACTGAAGAATGGATAAGGAAAATGTGG